TGACCCTGCTTCGGCAGGAGGGTTGGACTGGGTGACCCACAGAGGTCCCTGCCAACCCCGACCATTCTGTGATTCTGTAACCGTTGACTGAAGAAGCTTTAGTCCATACAGACAGTGATCAGGATTAGTGAAACCTCCTGGACGTGGCTCTCTCACATGGAACAGCAGCAGGAGGTGTCCGCAGGGTATATCCCGACGCCTCCCTTTCCTACAGACTGTGTTGTGCTGTTGCACCTCTTTGCCTCATGCTTTCACGTAGACTCTCTTGCACAGGTTTTGTGTTTGGTTGTTGTGTGTACGCCTTTCCGACCTCCAGAAAAGTGAAGGTTCAGGCCACCGTGTGGGTGAGGGCTGCTGATGTGGGTTACTGGGTGTGTTACGTGGGCTGGTAGCGATGGGTTGGGTCCAAGGGGAGGCTTTCAGACCGCATGGAAACCAGTGAAAGAAGGGAAAATTTCTACGGTACGTTTTCTTCAAGCTCTCTGCAGTTTATCTCTCAGTGTAGCTTGTGCCTGTTGCTAAAAAAAAAAAAAAAAACTTCCTTTTAAAAGGCTCTGCCCTGAAGAGATAACCTGCTCTTTTCTACATAGTTAGCATTTGATACAGTTCACCTTCCCTTGCTCTCTCACTCCTTCCAGGTACTTAGAAATAGCTGCTTTTAAAAGCGTTGCATATTTGCTGTTACTTTTTGGGTTTAGTTTTATTGTCCAGTATTATCGATCATCTATTTCTTAGAAGCAAATTCTTGTCACAAGAACTGATTATGCTCAACAAATCAAGCGTTGCTGGATAAAATAGAGTAAGAGAACTTTAAAAAGTATTTTCTGTAGTGGTTGTAATGAACTGGCTTTTTGACAGTGCTCATTTATTCTTAAACTGTATTACTTCAATTTTGGTTTCTGCAGAGGACGCATAGACATGAGTTGTTTACTCCTTCAGCAGTTGTTGTTCATCCTGATGACAGTAGGAGCAAATTCCAGGTAAAAAACCTGTTTTTTTGTCTTGCAAAGGGACCTGCACTTGTGTTACGCTTTAATGCAGTCATAGTTCTCCAGTGACATCTTAATTTTACATCCCATGGCTAATCAATGGAAATGAGTTCTTTTTGATCATTTTTAGCCCGTGTGTCAAAAATGCAGTTGTTTGGCTCAGATCAGTGTGCTGACCAAGCCGCTCAAAAGCAGCTGTGAAGTGCAAGAGAAACGTGGCTTCCTGAGATGGAAGGGCATTAGCTGTTCAGCTTCTTACACTTCCCTCTGCTTGGGGATATTTTTCCTGCTCCTTTCTTTCACAAGCACTAAATTCACAGACTTACAATCGAAGAAGGTCAGAACTTTAGTCTGTTCTGCTCCCATCTCAGCTTTCTCGTATTAAATGCTCTCCCTATATTACATGGTTGTTAAGTATTTTTAAAAAAAAGATGAACGTGTGTGTGTGTGAGACTGGGTACCAAACAGCAGCTTTTGCTTTGCTTGATTTCCCTGTTTCTCCTTGTTCCGAGCGTGCTGTCACGTAGAAAAAAGCAGCTGAGCTTAGCTGAGTCGAGCCTGCGTCTCCATCCAGGCTTTGCAGGCATCTTTCTCCCTCCGCTGCTTCCTAACCCCCTGTCAGCGGTGGCAAATGCGTTGCTTGTGCTGGTGTTGTAGGAGGATTGCCTCTCTCGCCTGCAGCTTGACAGACCAAAATAAGTTTGTCCAGAAGCCGCGGACAGCGTGCCGTGCGATGTCACCTGCATTACTCTGGAGCGTTTGCTGTCATCCATCCGAGGTTCCTCCATTAAAGTCATCAGTGTTGCTGTATGGCTGCCGGCTGGCCCTGTAGTTCAGATTGGATCCTGCTGAGGATCCAGTTACTACAGTTGACAAGAGTGGAAATTACCACTTGTTCTTTTCAGTTTTAATCCAGTTGTAAGCCAAATATCACAATAAATATTTACTTGCTAAGCAGTTCTTCGTGCTAACAGCCGTTATTGGAAATCTTCTCCAAAACTGTGCTGCGTTTGACATGCAGAAACATCTCCCTGATTTTTCTGATGAGCCTGTATTCTCTCATAGCTCGTTTGTGTATTTGCATAAGAGCACATGCTGTGTGGTGCTTTGGCTTGTTTGCTGAAGAACGGATACATGGAGAGTTTGATTTAATTCTTATTTGACTCTGGTTCTAGCTTAAAACTATAGAAACTCTACTGGGCAATACAGCTAAAGTGGGAGAAGTGATTGTGCTCGGGATGATAACTCAGCTCAAGGAGGTAGGTTGCTTTTTATTGTGGAGTGTCTAGGTCACAATTCATTCAGTTTTATAATATATTAGAAAATGAGAAGGCTTAAATACCCTACTACTTCATCTTGTCATAGAAGTCAGTGGCAGAACTCCCATCCATGTCAGTGGTGCAAGATCCATTCTCTGAGAAGGGACTTTTCCACAAGTAGTTGTTGCTAGTGTGTGAGGGAAAAAGTCTTTTTCTTCTCACTACAGAATTTTGTAGTGCTTTATGTCAGCAACCAGAACCAGTTACGCTTTCTAGGCATGCCCCTTCTTGAGCTGCTGGAGCTTCCAGTGACCATGTTTGGGCTTGCCATTGCATCGGGCTGTGGTTGTAGGGGAGGGGGGCCCAGCAATCCGCACCGCAGCAGCGCAGAGGGGAGGTGCGAAGATACACTTACTATAAACGACGTTGTTTTCAGTTCTGCCACTGTGTACGAAGCTTACAATATTAAAACCCTCTAAATTATTTCTAGATGCTGACTGATAGACGCTTCTGATCGAAGCATTTATGTGTTTGGGTGTATTTTGCTTTATTAATCCATCCTGTTTTTTAGGGGAAGTTTTTCCTAGAAGACCCTACAGGAGTTGTCCAGCTAGACCTTAGTAAAGCCATATCCTTTTTCTGTGATGTGAGAGTTGAAGAAACTTCCTGTAGACCTGGAGAATTTTAAATTGAATAATGAATCAATACTGACCATTAAAAATTACGTACTGAGAATAGTAGCTCTGTCATTTTCCTCCTTTTCAGATTACTTGGTCGCAGTTCAGTGCCCTTCCACAGAGACTGTTAGGACAAAGGTAGCATTCCTCCTGGTGGAAGCAGAGCTTGTTCCTGTCTGTGGGCTGTTTCTGAGCTTGCCCGCTCCGCTGCCAGGCGATTGCCTAGCTCTTAAGGCAGCCTATGAACTCTCAGTACTGTCCAAATGTATGACACCAGCTGGAAAGCAAACTCTGGCTAAAGAACTAGTTTAAGAGTCCTGATCTAAGAAAAATCTATTTCTTAACCTTTCTGCACCAGTTCCACAGCGGTTTATATACTGAATCATGCTTTGTTTTGGCAGAAGGTAAAGCAGACTGTTTTTCTTAGCTTGTAAGAAGTTATTCTGTTAAAGGCTGTTGCTGCAGTTACATGTCTGCCAGCTGTGGCTGAACAGACAAGTCTCGTGTGGGTCAGGCATGACCATAAACTGAGTTTGTGACTGAGATTTTTGGCTATAAGCCTTTCCTGTTACCTTGTGGGCTCTGGAGGTAGAGAAGAGAGCTCTGTGAAGTCTGTGGTTTTCAGCGATGTTGGTGGGGTGTGAGCATCTGTAGCAGCTTTGAGGATTGGCCTTTGTTAGCCTGGCTCCAACACGCTCGGAGGAGATATGACTAAGTTAGGAAGACAGACTGGAATAATGAAACAGCATGATTTAACAATCTGAAAATGCTGCTGTCTGTTGGCAAAGCTTTGGTCCTTCAGAGGCTTTGGTGAGTCTTCTCGTTATAGATGATGTAAGGGCTTGCATTTTTGGAGCCTTGCACATGTTCTAGCAAAATTATGGTCATTTCTGTTGGTAAGCTATTACTCTGTGTGATACACATAATCACAGTCTATTTTCTAATAATGTATTTCATGTTTAAAATTGTAAAATAGACTAAATAGAAGTCAAGAGCAAGAATGACAGCGGGGACGAGTATCACCCTGTTACTTGTGTTCCTCCAAGAGGTGGGACGGTTCTCGAGGAAGAGTGCGGTTTGATGGGGACTCTCCTGGGGCAGGGCCAGCAAAAACGATTCCTGTTCCCCCACATTCTTACTCGCTTGGGTTGAGAAGGTTGTTTATGTGGCTGTGCAGCAAATCCATTCAAAGAAGTGTCTGGGGAAATAAAAATAATCGGTTTCTTGCTCAGCCTGTTTTTCAGCCAGATTGGTCCCTGGTCTTGGTTCACCGCTAACCAGCACAGGGACCGGTGCTGTCACAAGTGGGGGATTGATGGAGGCTGGGTCTAGCTATGCGGCACAGCTGCCAACTGTCTGACTAATGTCTGGGACGTGATGTTGTTAGAAAAACTAAAGGTTGTTTTGTTGTTCAAAAATCTCTTTAGGTTGGTATGAAGATGAAGTTTTTCATGTGAACGCTTTTGGATTTCCGCCTACTGAGCCTTCTGCTACCACTAGGTATAAAACTGACTTTTGGCAGCCTCACCCCATGTTTTGTTATGGGTTTCTTAGTAAGCGCAGCATTATTTTACCATTTCTGTGACATTATTCTATTCTCCCCCTTCCCCAAATGCTTCAAAATAAATACAGTTTTAAGGAAGCAATTCTAGGACTTGCTGGTCTCCTTGCACCAGTACTGAAGTCTGTAATGTTAGCAGAAAAATGCTTCCAAAGGCCACTGGGTTCTGCATAGAATAACAGCTAGGATCTGAGCCCTTCTCAATTGCAAAACTAGGTAACTATTGTGTAAGAATAACAAATTCCTTGTTGCTCAAGGAATGAATAGGGGAGAGAACCCAGGATAAATATTTCCCTGAGGTGATCTGTTGAGTTATGGCAGGGCAGTGCCCCTGCTTTATATCCAGATGACTGCTGTTTCTCTTCCGTGGTTTCTCCATGAAGTACTAGATGATTATTGATAACATCTGAGCTACTTAATAATAATAATAATAATAGGCTTAAGTGAGTCATAATCAATACTAGTGACTATTTGGGAAGAAAACAGAACTGACTTGAATATTTTAATGATGTAGAGCCTTCTATGGGAATGTAAACTTCTTTGGAGGGCCTTCTTCAGTTTCAGTAAAGGCTTCTGCAAAACTAAAGCAGCTGGAGGATGAAAATGAAGATGCCATGTTTGTATTTCTTTCGGATGTATGGCTGGACCAAGCAGAAGTACTGGAAAAGCTTCACACAATGTTTTCGGGTAGGTGAGAGCTGCTTTGACCCGGAGCCTTGTTCCAGAGAATTTTTACCATTTTCCATAGTCCTTAGCAGCGTTGATGGGTGGAGCTGACACGTGTGGCAAGGCAGTCTGATGGCTTGCTAGTCCTTGGTCCTCCGCTGTGTCCCCTCCCTGGTGTGGGCTGGGATGTCTGACCCCGTGGTGAGCTAATTCAGGGAACACCCCAGCAGAAAACTAATTGCCTTTGTTGGAGAATTAGTTTTATGCTGGTTTAGCTTTGTGAACTCTTCATCATGCGGTCACTGATGTGGGCGTCCCCGTCCGGGCAGGGGGAGCTGGACGGTGGACAACTGACAGCAAGACTGTTCTTTCTAGGGTCTGCTCAGTGTTAGGCCAACTTTACGGTCAAACCGCGATCTATTTGCATTTCATCGTTGCTATTACATATCTTTTGGATCTTTCGCTAACAACAGTTTTAAAAATTGGATTGTATTGTATTTTTGCAAGCTGATACTTCCATTTCATAAATCCTTTAGTACCAATGTTGTTTTGGACAGTAGCCGTTTTGTGTGCTGTGACAAGAGTGTTGCCCTTGCTCATGAGAGTTCTTCCTAGGCTTAGTTTAAAGAAAACTTCTTACTTCATTGGAGATCAGCAGTCACTTGAATGCTTTCTGGTTGCTACCAATGGAAAAATGTCAGCTACTCTGAAGATATGAACTGTTTCTTCCATGCATCATTGCATTAGTAATGCTGACAACATTTGGACAGCAAGCATCGGCGAAATCTGTGAATTGGCTTCTTTGTATTCCAGAGCAGTTTTGGAACAGCTTGTCCTGTCTGTCTTAAGTAGAATGAAAGTGTGAGAGGATGGCTGCTTTAAAAATAAGCGACATAAAATTAAGGGTGGGAAACTGCTACTTGCTTAAAGAAAATTGGACAGAAATTACCACGCTCGTCCAGAAATTACGAAACCAGTCCACTGTCTTGATCGAAGTTGGCAAGATCCTTGTAGCAAACTGAGCTTGACCTAAGAGTGCATATGCAGGAGTAACGAAGGGACTGCGGTCAGTAAGGTTAATGTGCTGAGCCCAGCTGGCAAAGACGCACACATTGCATTTACTATTTTGAGACTTATTTTTAATGGGCAAGTAATAAGCTTCATAATTATAAACTAAAAATAATAGCTGAGTGGAATAGCAACGAAAAAACATTGATGAGCCATTTCTCTGGTATAAACAATTCTGTCCTATTAACCAGCTGGATGAAAAATAGTGAAATAAATCCAAGTCTGGTACTGCATGTCAGGAAAATGGAGAGGAACCTGGAGCATGAGGTGAATCCCTGAGTAGATGTTTTCATTTTTCTTTTAGGGATGGGAATTGGATTTCTTTTTTCACTCTTTGCTATAAAGCGTGTGTTTCTGGGTGATTAGTGATGTTGTGAGGATTCATCAGATTCTTGAAATGCTCAGGCAATTCCAGCTACTGTTGCTTTATAACTCCAAAGAGCGAATTAAGTGTTGGTAGAGCCCTTGAATTGGAATGACGCATGGACGTTAACAGTAATCGATTGCTATCTACTCGCTATTTTTCTCTTTAAAGAAAGAGTGCATTTTTAAATTGTATTATTTATTATAATTGTACTATGTGTAATTATACGACTGGGTCAGTAGTTAGTTGGATACACGCAAACAATGTTGTTGGAACTGGGCCTGTAGATAACAGAGGGCTCCCTTGGCGTGACGTTCGTACATTGCCATCGTCCTTTTTAAGCTAACAGGAGCCTGCATCAAGAGAATAGTTCAGGTGTATTAACAGCAGCAGAGCTGGAAGCACTGTTTCAGTTTCTGCCTCTCACGGAATGGACTGGAGGCTGGGTGATGACAGATGCTGAAGGGAATGGATGTTATACTCACAGAGACTCTGTTTTCCCAGGTTATTCTTCTGCACCTCCAACCTGCTTTTTCTTTTGTGGAAATTTTTCATCTGCACCGTATGGAAAAAATCAGATTCAGTCACTGAAAGGTGGGGAAGTCTTTGTATACAGTTGAGCATGTACATTAAATTAAAATAATGATGGTGAAACAACTTAGGAGAGCAGAAAAGAAACCCTTATTTTCTAAGTGACACATTTTTTAATGTACTGAAGTATGGGGGTGATTCATATAGTGTGTGTTTATTGTCCAACCGGGTGTTGTATCACAGATTTCTTTTTCCTGACTCTAGGTTCTTTGAAGGCTCTGGCAGATATTATATGTGAATATCCCAGCATTCATAAAAGGTACACAGCAAAGTGCTATGAAAAGGGAAATTTGTTTATTTTGTGAAAACTTTGCTTTAATTACTTTAATAAGCTAACAGACACTGTGTTTTCTCATTCTTACGGGCCAGCTATGATCAGATAGCAAGCTGGTCTTGTAACAGGCCTTTAAGTTTGCTTTGGGAGCGACATAAGTTCTGGGTTTTAGATAAAGCAGCTTGGTCATGGAAGCTGCTATTGAGTGAGCAAAGGTGAAACTGCCTCTCCCTGAAACATTTTCCACATGGATTAAACATGGCCCTTGATTCCCCAAAAGCGCTGTTTGGGTGAGCCCTTTTCCCTGGAATTCCCTTGATACCAGCAGGGCTCTGCCCGCGCAGTGCTGCTTTATAAACTGATGCCGAAGTCTTGATGCTGCTATGAGCACCTAGAGCTTTCTGTACCAGCCCTGGAAGATGTGAGCTGACACACTGACTGCTGCCTGCGTGGAGCCATCTCATTTCTGTCCCTGCCGTCCTTGCACACACGGTTCTCCACGGCCGCTGGTTTGAGAACTAACCAAAGCAACCCAGTCCTGCAGAGGAATCTTTTATTTAGCCCGTGCTGTGTCCCTGCTCTTGAGCTCTGTGTGAGCTGTAAGCGAGCGCATCTCCCGTACCCATCCTCTGTCCGGTGTCCCGGCGGAGCTCTCCTGGTGTGCCGCTGCCGCATTATCTGGGGTCCCTTTTTGGGATCCTGGAGCCCATCACCACCGAGTCCTGAGCCAGGCTGTGCACCAGGTCTGTCTCCCTGCCCACAGCCAGCCCCCCTACCACCGTGAGCAGTTTTTAGGGTTTCTTCCACTTCCCTGAGGAGTGGATGTGTGTCTTCTGCCTTAGCTGTGGTTTCTGTGGTTCTTGGGGCCAGGAAGAGCTGTCACCTCTGCCCCCAGAACACGTCATTTGCGTGCATCTGTGCAGTAACGGCGCTGTATAACCAATACTCCTAGGAGCATTTTGTAGAAAAGTGATGTGTTGAATTTTTTTGCAGTAGTCGATTTGTGTTTGTTCCTGGCCCTGAAGACCCTGGTCCTGGTTCTATTTTACCAAGGTCAGTTTGCTTCACTTTTTCAAATTTTGGAATATTGAGTTAAAAAGTTAATGAAGGTAACCTGCTGCTGTAGGTGCCCCTGCTTCAGCAGGGGGGTTGGACTAGATGACCCACAGAGGTCCCTTCCAACCCCTACCATTCTGTGATTCTGTGATTCTGTAAGAATTTTAGTTGATACATCTGTTGCTATTTGTTTTAGACCTCCCCTGGCTGAAAATATTACTGAGGAATTCAGACAGCTGGTGCCATTTTCAGTTTTCACCACAAATCCTTGCAGGTGACAGTGTAACTTACTGCTATTTTAATTTTGTTTTCTTTTTTTACTGAATGACTAATTTACGTGCAGATGTAATTTTCAAAAATTACAAATTTTGGAAAAATGGGTTCTAAATTTCTCAGATTATTAGAATTCCTCACTTGCATTAATTGTAACTAGTTTTAAGTACATTAAGACATAAATTAGTGATGAAAGGAAGTAGTGCTGAAAGCTTGATAGCGAGTATAAAAATCCTACTCAAAAGCATGACGTTTTTTCTGAATCTGGAGGGAATGAAGGGAAGATGGGAAAGTATTATTTTAATTTAAATATGCTTTTTCATTTTGCTGTATTAGAGGGAGATCAACTGTATAATGCAGCTCCATGTCTTTTAGTTTCATCTCAGTTTATTTAATTTCATTAATGTTTTCCATTTAGGATTCAATATTGCACCCAAGAAATAATTATCTTTCGTGAAGATTTGGTAAACAAAATGTGCAGAAACTGTGTCCGCTTCCCTAGCAGCAACATGGACATTCCCAACCATGTGAGTGAGCTCTTCTTGCTAACATCTCCTTGGCTTTTCCTTTAATCAGCAGGTCTGCATGTAGGGTGCTCTGACCGGTGTTCACACAATCCGTTACAAGAGTAACCGAGAGGGACTGTAAGAAGGATCTGTGCATTTAGTATTATTACTTTCATTTACGTCTTGAGAGTAAAATAACTTAAACTGTGATGGTGACTGATGGCACTGAGTCCTCCTGACCGCCCCACTGCAGGTGCCCTTGAACGCCGAGCTTTGTAGCTGCTGACTCTTGGTTTATGCACACCAGCAATGAATGTCGCACCAAGAAACATGGATTCCTAAAGGCAACGTTTAATACAAATTCCCTTTTTTTGAAGATTGGGTCAATTAACCGGTGACATTTGCAGTAAAGCAGCATGTCCCTTTTCCAAAAGGTCACCTGTTTCTTGTGCCTTTTCACTTGAAATCTTAATCCTGCTTTTGAGACATCGCCACGGCACTCGGAGTTATGGTTCTACTTAATGAATGCACAGCGGGGGTTGATGGGACCTACTGATAGAATTGAATGAGAATGATCCAGGCAGTACTGGCTCATTGCAGTGATGGATGGAGTCTATTTATTTTATAGGGGTTTGTTTACTTATTTGTTTGACTCAGAAACTTCTTTTAGCTCTTTCTGCCTTCCACCCGTCATGGCAGCGCTCAGTTTCATTGTGAACACGGGGAAGCCATCGTGGACACTGATGCACCTTGGTTTTGGCGTGCACGTTTGCATACGTGTGTGTATATGCTGCAAGCTGTCGCTTCCCTGTGCTCATACAGGGCTTTCTCATGCGTGGAAAGGAAGGAATCGTGAAGGAAATGTAGAATTATGTATTGCAACGCTTTCCGCGGATAAGAGCGTTGGGTTGCTTTTGCATACTTCAGTTTGTCTCTGCCTTTTCTGCCTGTCAGTAGTTTTTTTAATTCAGCTATCAGTTTAAAAAGATGAATGAGAGAGGGAAATTTTGTTACTAAAATTAGATTGAATTTAATAATGTCTTTAGGCCTCGTACAGTATTAGTGGAATAACTGAGCCTGTGCTTGGTACATTCTTTTCTTCCAACAGCAGACCCTTTCACCATGCAGCTGTAGTGATTTTGGCCCTTTGGGGAAAGTGGAGCCGAACGGCAGCTACATGGTTGATTAAAGATAATAAAAGCTTCCGAGGGGCTTGAGGAGAGAGTTTCAGGAACCAAAATACCCTGGCTGGAATTTGCCAGATGGAAAAGGGAATTTCAGGGGGCAGCTGGTGTCTGGAGCAGAGCAACTCCCAGAACAGCCAAGGGAATCGAAATAATTTGGGAATCAAATTATTTCCTCCATTCAGGGAAAAGACTATGTTGAAGGTGGGTCTTGTGGGTAACTGGCACTGCGAGGAAAGGCATGAGGGGAAAAAAAAACACCACAAAATGAAAATTCTGGCAATGGTGGTACATCCTGGGTTGGAGGAACAGGGAAGCAGATTCTCTGTTGGAGAGTCTGATCGATGATGTAGTTCTGACATCTTCAAATATTGGCTGATATGTTTAGAAAGGACATTGTGGATTAAAAACACAACAAACAAAACAACAGCTGACTCTTGTTTTTACTGGAGAAGTCATTAATAATCTGAGGGCATGAGATACACAAAAAACATTTCCAGGTCCAAAGCTTCTTTATTAACAGGGCGTTAGCATCTACAGGAATGAATTTGACTTGCAGAAAATGGCTCAAACTATTTATGTTTGTCTTGCAGTTTGTAAAGACTATATTATCACAAGGACACCTGACGCCGCTTCCGCTGTACGTCAGCCCTGTGTACTGGGCCTACGACTACTCCCTGAGGGTATATCCTGTGCCAGACATGCTCGTCATTGCAGACAAATACGACCCGTTCACTGTCACCAACACTGACTGTCTGTGCATAAATCCCGTAAGATTTCCTTTGGCTTTACCAGAATAAGAAGGGGGTGCAGTCACATCCAAGTGTGTCTCTTACGATTTGTACAGTATTTTACTTACACAGCTGCGGTGTACACATTTTTCTTTACAGGGTTCATTTCCAAGAAGTGGGTTTTCGTTCAAGGTATTCTACCCCTCCAACAAGACAGTTGAAGACAGGTAAATATATTCAGTTTCTCGTTTAAAAGGACGTATCTTTCTTACCTGCTGACTTTCTAATTATCAGGAGGAACACAGAAAATTCATTATATAAACAGAGTGAGTGTTCTGGCGGTTTAACATAGACTTACGCTTCATACTTAGGCAATGTAAGAAATTCGAAAGCCTATAACTAAAATAATAAATTTAGAAATTATGGTCAAATAACAATGATGAGGAGCATGATCCAAAAGTAAAAGGAAAGATAGACTGTACTATATGATTTTCAATAATTGAGACCCAATTGGGAAACAGATTTGTTTCTGGAGATGAGGCTTGTTATGTAGGTTAATTACACTTGGGAACAATTCTTGATTCCTTTTGTGATCATCATCAAGCCCAGAAGCCACTTTCATGCTTTGATTTCATGTATTTTAAATCTGTACTTACTCATTCCAACCGTGATCTTCCAATGACTGGGAAAAAAGCCCAGCTGCAACACCAGAAAGTATCGAAAAGTAGCAAAGGGCTTACAACAGTGGTGAAAATTTGAGTGTTTGAAATAACGATAGTGGAACCCGATGGGAAAATTGCAAACTTACCTCGTCTGGTGCGGTGTTTTTGTCAAACGAGGGGGCATAACGCGCCCATGCTCCCGAGGGAATCGCTAACGGATCAACCCGTGTCACCTCCACTTGAACATAGCAAATATCACACCGTGAGATGCTTTGGGTCTTGAAATAGTTTCAAACATGATCAAGTCTTTCATAAATCAAGAAATAGTATTGTGAACTGTCTTTTAAAAAACCCTTAAGTGTTGTTTGTGTTTGGTGTTTTCAGCAAGCTGCAGGGTCTCTGAATTTCTGCGAGACTGCAACAAGGGAGCGAGCCTTTGTAGAGCCGGCTGTCGCGCTGCTTTTAGGTGGATTGGTTTTATGACTGGTTTACAGACTCTTTATAATAAATGTGAAAGCCAAAAATGGTGTATTTTGTACACAAATAAACTTTTACAGGAAAAGATACTGGTGTTTGTTTAGATAAAATGTAGAGGCACAGTGAAGATTAATCGGCAAAGCATAATAAAAGAAGATAAGTAGACGAACCAGACGCATGCGTATCAAAGAGAAAATATCAGTCTTTTAAAAAAATAAAGATAGGGAGAACTTTTGTCTTTGACTGTGCCGAGTTGAACTGAGAGCTAGTTATCCACAGGAGACACTGGAAATGTGGGCTAGGGTGGGTTTTTTTTGGACAGGAGGTGTTTCTTAGCCATGGCAGTATGTAACGTGTTTGCGGACGGCGTTACGCAGGCGGGGCGAGGAGGGGCGAGAGGAACAAGGACAAGGTCCTCGGGAACTCCTGCAGAAGGCCGGGAGGAGGGAATCTCGCTGGAGGAGCAGTCGGGAAGGTGGGAAAGAGACACGGACTGGCAGCGCAAACCTCCGCATCAGCCTTGGCTTGGCTTACAGCGGGGAGCGGCCTGTTGGCGCGCAAACTCCATCCCTTTTCCATTAAACTAAGCAAAACCCTGCTCCAGCCACTCGCGGGCACCCGTGGAAGGCAGGGGCGAGGGCTGGGAGCCGGCACGAAGCCGCTGAGGCGAAAGGAGGGGAAAAG